TATTTGTAGTAGCGGTAGGAATGGGATTCGTTATATTATTACATTTATTACTGACTACATTAGTACTATTACTATTTGACAGGTTTTGATTTATGGAATTGCTGACGGGAGCGATTGTTGTAGGATTCGAGACACTATGACTAACTGTAGAATTTTGAACTGTAGATGCATTAGGTGGGACAAAACCGGGAAAAGCTGGAACAAAAGTTTGATAGGTGGGAGGAGGTTGAGGAGGAGGATAATTTGTAGGATAAGTCGGTGCATTCCCAGTTTGATTGTTAAAATTTTGATTGGTGAACGTTTGAGTCGGTATGGGAGTAGTTCCAGGCATTTGAGGCGCTGCTAAATTAGGATTGCCTGTAATTACAACTGAATTTAATTCTCCAATATCGAGTTCCGATTCCTGAAAAAAAATTTTTTATTAATTATGTAAAATAGTTCACGTGTGCGTATGCGAGACAGATATTCCATATTGTATTTTAAAACTTTACTTGAAGAAAACTGAATTTTCCAGCAACGTTTTGAATCACATCGTTTATTTGTCGGTTATTCTGATTGGACGGAGGAGCGTTAGGTGCAGTTGGTGGTTTAAATCCTTGTGCATTAAAAAACCCACTTTCCACCTGCATAAAAGCGAGTATTTGAATAAAGAGTAAAATTAAAATAATTCAATTTAAAAAAAACAATACCTGAGAAACGGGAGTTGGAACAATATTTGTAACATTGGGAGGTAGAATTGGATGTTGATTAGGGGGAATCATTGCTGGTTGTGCTCCAGGCATAATATGATTTCCCGGTATTATATTTTGAACAGGACCAGAATTTTGAATAGACAAATGATTTCCTAAACAAAAAATTTTACATGGTAAGTCAACAAACAGTAAGTAACATAAATTATTCCGATTAAAAATTATAAGGATTTTAACCTTCGGTTGAAGTTTGAGTAGGCACAATAATGTTGCTTATCATTTCTTTAGTATCTGTAAATTCTTCTTCATTTTTAACAGTATTCAAATCCTGAGGTGCAGAGGCTTTTTCATCAGCAGGCTAAAATAAAATTTGGAATTAAAATTGGAAAAATAATTACATTTAAAACTAATAATTAAATAAATTAAAATGTACTCTATCAAAATATCCACTCGTGTGAATTGATATAATTAATTCTTTTAACTTTGTACCAGTTGAACCTGCTAATTTTTTCGGTTTCCCATCGACAATAGTTATGAAATTCTCTGCAGCTTTCTGAAACTGATCCTTAAAACAAGAAATTTTATTTTATTATAAAATTGAAATTTTAATTTATTTTGTTATTGAAATTGAAATTGAAATAATTTCTCTGATAACATAAATGATAAGATAAAAACATAACTAATGATGCAAACTAAACGATTATTGTTAAAAATTAAAATTAAAAAAGAAATTTAGATATTACGCATCATTCGTTTAAGAAAATGTTATAAATACAATTAATGTAATAAAACTTACATTTTCAAAACGTGTACCATCATCTGAAAATCTTTTAGGCAAAATTTCAGTACTAAGATCATCCAAAACTTTAAAATCAGCTTCTGTTAGCTTTACGGCTCCATTTTGTCCTTCTAAGAAATCCTGTCTGACATTTTCCGTTTTTATGCTTTGCAAAACATCCTAAGTATTTTAAAGTAAATTAAATTTTTTAGATTTTATGATATTTTACACGATATAAAAGGAAATATATTTTGCACACTAGACTTTGATATTATTTTTATAAATTCACAAACTTAGACAAACCTGAATTTCCAAGATCTGTTTTATTTTGCTTATTTCTAACAAATACTTGTCTTGCGCATCTTTTTTAGCTTGTTTCTTTTTCTCTTTATCATTTTCATCACTAATAACTTTAAACTGTTTAACATATTCTTTTGAAAGCTCCAATTGATGTACAACTTCGTCATATTTGGCAACAGCTTCAATCTGTCCCTTTGTAAGCGAATCAATACTCTCCTTATATGAGTCTAACTTACTCTATTATACAGAAAAATAAAAAATTAGAAATTTTTTTCTTACATTTATTTGTTTTTTTTTTAAAGTTATACTTATTCCGCAACAAGAATTAATAGTGAAAATTTATAATTTAAAGGGTTTTAATTAACAGTAAGTGACTAAAACATCTATTGATATGCATAATACAGTTTAATTAAGCTTCACTTATATAAGGGCAAGTAATAATTTTTTTGTAAAAACAAATATAATTTAATTAATTCGGAAAGCGTCAAATATAAAAAAAAAAAATTAATAAATTAAATATTAATTTCATGAATGAATAAATGTGAAATAAACCTAAAGTGATTTATTTAAAAGCATTGACGAGTGTGACTAATAAAAAATAGGTTCAAAATATGAACGAATTTTAAAATTTAATAAAATGACATTTCACAAAATAATGGCAAAGCAAGCGATGCGAGTAGTAGCCAGATAGCACATGTTTATCTCAAAAGAACATGGCGGAGTCTTTGTTCCCTTAAATGTCAGGTCACATTAAAAATTCTTATAAATACTATTTTTAAAGTTACGGCAACCTAAAACTTACCTTTCTTTTTTCAAGGTTTCTAATTTTATGTCCTATAATGACAATTGCTTGCTTAAGCGGATCTACAGCCTCCGTGGACGCTGGTTTTTCTGACTTCGAACTCGCAGAAGGCATTTTCTAGACAACAGCTCCTCTATAATAAACTCCTGCGTTGCCAAATTTTTGCAAACATTTGTTGCGAGCTTGTCAAATTTATTATCCAAAATGGACCATTTGTTTTTATGTTCTATATAAGATAGATCATAAACTATTAATTATTTTTAATAAATTATAATTTTAAAATTTAAATAAAAAAATAATATATATATATTTTTTTCATTTTATTTAAAAAGTATAAAAAAACAAAAATTTGATTAATAATTTAAAACAAAATTTTTAATTATTAATAATAATTAAATAGTTTTATTTAATTAAATTTTTTTAAAAAACATTATAATAAAAAATATTTAAAAGTTTACAGGATATTTTAAGAGTTATTACAGTAAAAAAAAAAAGTTAATAACTAATTAACTATATTTTAAATAAAAGAAATAAATTTCAAAATAATTTTGAAATATTCTATAATTTTTTTTTTTCAAATAAAAATCTAAGCAATCTAAAAGTGATGTTTCACTGAAAATAACTTTTAGTAATGAGCTCATTTCTATGAATAATGTTTTCCTTTTTCGATTACAACTTTGATTTTTTACACTTCTATTTTATAAACATTATATTCTGATAGCGTTGAGCAATTACAAATGGAAGCATTACTTTTTAAGGAAAAATAAAAATATAAAAAATCACACAGATATGTTTGAGAGTGTTGTTGCAAAGTAGGAATTAATTCCAAATACTTTTACTCGACTAATTCATCCAACCACCTAAAATTATACAAAAAATTAAAAATATAAGCAATAAATAGGTAGTTTTTTTTTTTTTTTTTTTTTTGTAGATTTATACGATACCTCTTCTGAACCCCATGATAAATAATCCTTTTTAGTGGCTGCTAAGTATTCTTCGACAAGTTCCATAACTACCCTACTAGAATTATCTAGCTCATCAAAATTATTAGCAAACATGTCCTCCTTTTTAAACTGTTCTAAAAATGCATTTCTTTTTCTCAATTTATCATATTGCATTAAAACTCCCTGAAAAAGCTATAAAAAAAAAATAAAAAAAATAAATTTTTTTACTATTCACTTTTTCAATTGATTTTTATACTAAATGAAAACTTAATTTTTTTTTAAATTAATCAAAAACCTTACTGATGAAATATTTGTATGATTTGCAAGCATTAGACCTGATACCCTGTGAGAAGTTTGAATGTATGGGCTTTTTTTGGATAAAGCCACTTGAATACTAGCAGGACCCCATGGAATAAAATTGGCTAATTTTCTCTCTCTTATTCTTTGTAATGATTTATGAACTTGGGTAGGGTCAACTTCTCCCTAAAAAAAAAAAATTATGTTTTCCATTAAATAAGAGCAAAACAAGAGCTTATCGTGTAAAATGAACTACAATATAATTTCAGTTTCGTTACTTACTTGTATGATATTTAAAATTGAAATATAACAATGAGCAGCATTTCTGTCAAATGCAGTAGAAACCATCATATTTTTAGGTTGCAACAGTCTTCTCATTACATCTAGTACAGTTGTTTTTCTCACAGATGCATTTTCTTGATCTGTGGTTAAAGGAGTGTAACCAGTCATTAGAAAGTGCAATCTCGGAGCTGGAATAAGTGGTGCAATAAGTCCTATTAGATCATTGTTCATGTAAGAAGGATACCTGATAAAAAATAAATAATATTTAAATTTTAATTTGGCTAATCTTCAAAAATAATGGTATGTAATAAAGATTAAAAACCTGAAAATTTTTTTTCACATTACCTTAATGTTGCAGTCGAAACGGACATTATTGTAGAAACTAAAGTATTTATTTGGGCAAAACTTGGATTTGATATATGTAATCGATCAGTTGCTATTCTATTTAAAGCTGTATTGTCTAGTACTACTACACAATCAGCACTATGTGTCAATCTTTTTAATGTTAGCAAACTGTTATATGGTTGAACCTCAAATAAATCACAAATATTAAAATTATAAAAAAAATTATTAATTATAAACAAGTGAATTTATATACTTACGACAACATCGCTAATTTCATCCTGATTTGGAAACACACTATAAGTTTGAATAAGTTTTTTAGGGAATCTCTCTGTTAATTGTTCTAAAATGTTAGAACCCATACCTGAACCTGTACCACCAGCAATAGAATGACATAGTACAAACCCCTAAAAATAAATTTTATATATTATTAAGATACTTTCTTTATTCTTTCTTTAAAATGCGATAAGCTTTCTATAACAGTATTAAAGTTGATTTGTTTTGTTTTAAAATCACCTCTATGCTGTCAGATCCTTCTGCTTCCCTTTCAATTATATCAAATATTTCATCTGTTAATTTTTCTCCCTGGGAATATCCAGAAGCCCAATTATTTCCTGCTCCACCTCCATGTTTTGAAACATACACATTTTCCGGATTGTAAAGCTAAAATAAATTTTTATCATTGATAATTTTTTTAAATTGAAATATTTACATTGAAGCAAATTTTTATTACCTTACTATGCTCTGAATTCATAATGCTATTTATAACTCTGGGCTCTAAATCTAATAAAACTGCCCTTGGAATATAATGTTCATCATCGGCTTGATAAAAAAAAACATCTTTTCTATCTACTCCATCAGTTACAAAAGGTTCTAATATTCCTGATGGATTAATACCGTGTTCCGCACATAATCTTTTCCAAAATTCAAAGCCAACTGCAAGCAATAGAATCAATTATACTATTTGTAATTTATAATTTTTTAATCAAAGGTTTTGAAAAGTAACAAAAGTAAATAAAAAAAAATAATAGGATGAATAACGGATAACAGTCAGAATAAAAAAGGTAAAATTACAAAAAAAAAATATTTACTTTGATTTCCACATTGTCCCAATTGTAAAGTTATAATTTCACAAGGCATTATTTTAAGTTATTTTTTTTTTTTTTTGGATAAATAATAGTTGAAGTAATAATAATAATAGTAATAATAATAATAATAAATAATTTTGTAGGTGTTTAATTTGTAGATTGGTAATCAAAAAATTCGCTCCAAAATAACCATAGAGAGTATAAAATTAAATCGAAAATATTTATTTTTAACATATTAATTAAAAAAACTCTAAAGTACTTTTTTTTAAATTTAGATACGTAAAGCAATAACGATAATAATAATAATATCGAATACAAATTTTTAATCTCCGATTAAATAATTAATCAAACAAAATCTAATTTAAAATAAATAATTTAGAATACGAAGGAAAAAAATTATGAAAGGATACATATGATTCCTTTGTCGTCTGCACAGTAGTAATTTTTTACAGTAAAATTTTTATGCTCTTACTTATTCGTTATTAATTTTTTTTTTTTTTTTGAATAACAGTTTTAAAATGGGTAAACATTTTGGTAATTTGCAAAAACTTTACGGAATAAATTATTATGTTCTTTCCCCTTACGAAACTCGTCCGTTTAAAAATTTTTTTCATCCCGGATTAATTAATTGGTTAGCAAGAGCATGGAGTAATTTGAAATATTCTATTCTTCGTAAGTAATTTTTATTTAAATTATTTATTATTAAGTTAATTAAACGAAAAATCGGTAAAATATATATATATATTTAAATTAACGATAATATTTTGAATCAATATAATCGCAATATTTATTTAAAAAAATTTTAATTTCCTTAATTATCTTACTGTGATAGTTATTGTCATTGAAATTCAATTTTTAATATTGTTTCAGCGATTGGAGTGACTTATTTAGCATATGATTTGACAATGCAAGAACATCACAGAGTTAGTAAAAAAAATCCAGATGATTATAAAAATGATGTGTAATGTACATGTTCAATTATTTATAGTTTAAAAATAATTACAGTGTAGTCAGAATGAGTATATTTAAAAAAAATGTTCTTTTCAATTCCATTACTGAAATTTTATTAGCAAAACATTTATGTTACAGTATAAAAAAAGTCGATAAATAAATTTTTCAATATTAGCACTGAAAACCAGATTTTTCTTTATTATACATTTTTTTTTTTTTTAAATTTTCACTTTTACATTTAATTTCAAAATTGTTCAAAAAAAAAAAAAGTTAGTCCTAAAATGAAACCATTTTTAATAGTGAATATTTTAAATAAATTTGTGAAAATTTTATCTTTTGCGTCATGTACCTTTTCAAAAAACAAGTCGAATAAACGTAAAATTTTTGATTAAAACCACAAAAATTTTTTTCGAATTGTTTTATTTTTGTTTAAATATACATATTAAGGAAATTATTAAAGAAAATTTAAATATCTTAAAAAAATATTTATTATAAATTTAGTTAAATAAGGTTTAAGGACATTTTTATTTGATGAAATAATTTAATTCGACTTATTTAATAGCGATTAAAAAATATTATTATATTTAATACAAAACATACATATATGTAATAAAGCTTTATAATTTTTTTTAAAGCTGACTAATTGTTAAATATTAGCATAATAATTACCATTTGATGTAATGAAGCTTTTTTTACACATTCGAAAATGTTTTTTTTTTTCGCATATAAAAATCGAAATGGATTTTTTTAAGTTACTCATTTAAAACTTATTTTTCTATAATTTATTTAGCAGAATATGGATATTCTTTATATTGTGTTCCTTTTAAATTTTCAGATGTCCAAATTTTAAATTTTTCTAAAAAAAAAAAAAAAATGTCATTTGTTGTTGTGGAAAATAATTTTATTATCATAATCATACCGAGTGTGTCATTTTGGAATGTGTTTAACCATTGTCCAGATTCTCCTTTTCTTATAAACATTAATTCATCATCTTCAATTTTCGTCTCTTGTTTTGCCAAATTTCCAAAATCCAAAAAATTAACTAAATCATTGTTTTTCATACTTTTAAAAGACAAATGATTTTTTAATATTTCAACTTGTTCATCTGTTATATTAACATTTAAAAATTTGGCCGTTTTTTTTATCACGCTCGACAAATCCTGAATTTAAAGAAAAAAAAAAAAAATTTTTTTTTTGTAATTGGACTAAAGTTTTAAAAAATTTATTTAATAACAAGGAGAAAAATTTTTTAAAAAAAAACTCAACTCTTTTCATATCTTCGTAACTGTTACAAAGAACGTGAGATTTGTCTTTCATGTTCCAAAAGCCTAAAAGATGATTCCAAAATGGCGAATAAACATCTGTTGAAAAAAAAAAAAAAATAAATAATTACATGTGAAATGGACCTTGTGATATTCTTTCGCCATTAAAAAAAAAAATATTTTCAACATACGCCTATCGGCCAAAAATGCTTTTGTAAAATTTTCAAGAGTACCACGGTAGCCATTCCATAAACGATAATGATGATAATAAGAAATGACAACATCTCTAGGGTCTCTACTCACGTAAATTACCTAATGAAAAAAAAAAAAAAAAATTCAAATTTAAACTTGTTTAAAAAAGTTATTGATTATTATTATTATTATTTTTCTATAAATTAATTTTCCAACTCTTACTTTAGGTTTGACCGTCCATATTCCTTTAGGAAGTAATTCGACAGGTAGATGACTTTTAATGCACCTGGGCCTTTTAAGATTGGCTGATATTTCTATTGTTTTAGGTGTGCCATTTTCTTTTCCATCACTTCTATCAACAATCGCTTCTAGTCTTTTTTTTTTTTTTTTTTTGAAAATTAATTTTTTATTTATTACAAATAAACACGTGAGTTATTTAAATAAAAGTTATGTAATAAAAAATGTACTCACTCGAGAAACGGACACCTTTCTCTTAGGTGAACTGTTTTGGCGGTTTTGTAATCTAAATTATTTACTAATAACCATATCATTTCTTGCGACCATGTTGTACCTAATAACGGGAAAATTTTTTTTTTCAAATTTTACCTCAAATTCATTATTTACATATTTATCCCTTCGTTTTATATTAAATTACCTGATTTTGGATACGTAATTATCCAAACATCATCTGGAAAAACTTGAAAATTATAAATTTTTTCAAAACTTTCCTTGAATTTATTCGGGAGAACGCATTTTGATGGATGTACTTCAATTTCCGGATTCGAATACCTGTTTGGATCCGAATTATTTTTTACATCTTGGGTAAAAACATCGTTTATAGGTACGAATGTGAATTTTATTATTTTTTCCATGGTACCTAAATAATCGCAATACGAATATAAATATTTGAGGCCAAGGCTAATTAATGGACATCGATCGAATTCTATTGAGAATCGTTAAATATAATGGCGAGTTGTCAAATTTTAATTTTAATTTTTTTTTTTTTTTAAATTTCCTTATAAAAGCTATCTTCTAACTAACTAAAAACAATTTTCAACATTTTTTTGTCTTCAGGAAATAATTAATTAATTATTAAATTGAGGTGAACTGATATTCGCAAAATAAAATAAAAAAAAAAATAAATATTAATTAACTCGTTGTCCCTCACCTAAAAATTAATTTATTAAATTCAAATTTATTGATTTTCATTCAAATTTAATTGATGATTTTTTAATAAATTTTTTTAAGGAAAAAACAAAAGAAAAAAAAATTTAATAAAATATGGCGGTCTAAACTTTTCCAAATCGACGAAAAAAAAAAAATTTATTTCTTACAGTACCATAAATTATAAAAAATTATTTTAATTAAACTGTATTATTATTGTTTTGTGGTACATTTTTTTTTTTTTTTTTTAAACAATTTATTTAAAGGTTAAATGAATCAAATGGTTTTTATATGAACAATTGAAATAATAAAAACGTTTTACGTAATTTAAATAACGTTTATGTAATTACATAACATAATAAACATGTCTCGAAGTGATATTATTATTTACAAATTTAGTGATAAGTTTAAATAATCTAATGATTATTTGAAACCTTTTAATTTCTTTATCTCTCTCTCTCTCACTCTCAAATAACATATTTATTATATTTCTTTTTCTACAAATAAAAAAAAAAAAATTTTTTCAACGTATTTCTTAATAAAATTACTTAAAGTAATTAATTATTTTATATTGTTATGTACGTATAAACTTTATTATGGAATGAAAGGACGTGACTTCAACAGGTCAAAAACAGGAAAAAATATTTTTACAATCTAAAATTAAAGACGTATTGTAATAAAACTAACTTTTACAGCATTATTGAAACTTTATGTGAGTAATAAATAATCTATAAATAATCTATAAGTAATCTGAAGAGTTTAAAAATTTGCGAAAACAAAGAGGTAAGTTATTATTATCATTTCAAAAATTTTTGACTATGGCTGATACCCTTAAATATGCCCTAATCAAACATTTCCTAAATTTCTGTCTATTAAAATCTTCCTTATAGAGTCTTTTTTCATGAGGCCACCATTACACAATTCTTTTTTTGCATCCCAAATTTATCCATCTCAAAGTTTAAACTTGTAAAAAAGTTTTCTTTAATGTTCAAATCCTAAAAATGTCTTTTTATTTGTAAATTATCAAGTTCAGTGTATAAAAGAACTACATCAGCTACTTTTTACCTTTTTTTTAAACCATATTCTTCAGAAAAAATGAAAAGATTTAATTTAGAGACTAAAACTATTCATGTTTTTCTTCTATTCTATTGAAAATAACTCATCCAAGTTTGTTTTTTAAACAAATTTAAGCAAAAGCCAACTGATCATCTGTAAAACTAAAATTTTTTAGGTCAAAAACATACATTTATGTCATGTGTGTGTTATGTCATTTAATATTTATGTCATTCAACCTTGCAAACCATCAAAATTTATTATCTCTTGTATTCTATTAGTTTACTAAAACTTACTATTGATATTCTTTATATTTAAAAAAAAATTTTTCCTTCTAATAGATATCTTAATCTACAAAATACTTTAAAATAATCAAAATTTTTCAAAACTCTGATTATATTTAATGGCAATCTGAGTTTGATATAAGTTTTGCCAGAAACCCTTTCATACAAATAATTATTTTAAATTATTACATACCAAAAAAGAAATCTCTCTCTCTCTCCTATGTAGACTTCTCTTTATAAATATTTTCAAATAATTTCCTACATTGACGCCATTTGTATTCTTTTAAAAAAAAAAATTTTAATCAAACTATCTTTTATCATAGTAACCGACTTTTTTTCACCTTTTTTTTTCATACCCGTTCTCTAATATAATTCCTCTTTGAATGAAATTTGTATTTGTAATGTATATGTAATGTAAAATAACAGAAATTTCAAATTTTACATTTTAAAACTTCAAATTATGCTAAACCGAAAAAAGCTGACAGGTAATACTGTAAGTGAAATGAATGGAAAAAAAAACTTTTTGAATTAGGATAAATCGATAAAACGAGGGTTTAAAACTTACTGTCAACTAAAATTTTCTTGTTTAATATTAAAAGTTAAATTTAAGTAGATAAATTTGAATAGTTAAATTTTAAAACAGATATTAACTTCTGCTTTCTTTCGATTCGTGATAATTACTCACCGCTTTCTTGACGAACTTTTTTTTTTTTTTTTTTTTTTTTTCAATTCACCGATTTTTCCAACTGAATTACTACTGAACAGTTAAAATCATAAACGAATTTAAAATTTAATAGCACACTCCTACCGGATTTTTTAAGAACTACTTTTCACTGTGACGAAAAGAACGCGCCAAACGTTTTTTTTTTTTTTTTTTTTTTTTTCATAAAAAAAAAAAGTTGTAAAAAAGGTATTTTTATTTTAAGGGTTAAAGTTTAAGTTTTTAATTTGGGATTAAAATAAGGTAAATATTTCTTTGAGGCCTTTGGAAATTCACGGAAAGTATCGATTATTATATTACCCTTAAAAATTATCAGGGAAAAGGTTTCATTTTGGCAACAATTAAAATTCACTTAAAAACTAACCTCCATTTTGGATTTGACAAAATTTTTCAATTTTTGCTATGAATTTCTTTAGAACAGTTACAAGTAATTATGAGTAATGTAAAAATAGTTAATTTTTTTAGTATCTTTTAAATTAAAGTAATTTGAGGTGGTTGAAATACAAACCCTAAGACCTTAAAATGACATTTAAGTTAAAAATGTTTCTCATATCTGAGAATACTTTCTGTTTGGAATGTTCTAGAAAAGCAGAACAAATTTTAAAGATGTAGTCTCATATAATGATTTAATGTTATCTGGAACAAAACCTTTTTTGTTAAAATTATACAGTTTTCTTTGTTTTATTTTAAATTTTGCATATTTTACTCATTGTACTTCTTTATTTAAGTATTCATTATCCCCTACATCTGTGTTATTTGATGAATCCTGAATTATTTTATAACAAAATTAACACTATCAAATACATTTTCATTGAGAGTTTGAAAAAGGAAATAAAATTTAGGTAGTCAGGTGTTTAATGAACCAGTTTTGTAATAAAAATAAAATTACATATTCATTTTTTTACTTATTAATAAGGAAATATAATTTTAATTTTAATCTCTTAGTTTTTTTTTTTTTTTTAAATTAATATTTTTTGAAAAGTTCAAGGTGTAGTATATTCTTACTTATTATATAAATGTTTTCCTATAATTATATAAATGTATTCCTATATAATATTTGATAATGCATTAAAAATACTTTTAATAACTAATAAAAGGAAAATAAAATTTAAGGTAATCAAAAGTTAATTTTATATTGAAACTTAATAACACTTTAAAAAACTTTGTATTTAGTTAATGTAATGTTTGTCTTTAAATTTTAATGATACTGTTTTATTGTTATGATATGATGCATTTTTTGTTTTTCAGTATAAAATTCTAAAACCACAAAACACTACATTTTACTGTTATTGTGATTTAAAATGATAATAAATTCATGGTTTTTATTCAAGTTTGCCATGGCAATTGAAGGGCAATTCATTAGAAGTAATGTTTAATTCATTTTATTTGACTAATGGTTGCCTTTTTTCAATTCTCACTTGAAATCCTTCTTTTCTTTTTAATATAATGTCAGCTGTAAGGCAATAATCTTTTTCAGGAATGTCAGAATATATACGGTATGCTCTTATAACATTTGAAAGAAGAATTTTTAGTTTTAACATGGCATATTTTCTTCCTGTAAATTATTTAGAAATTTTTGGTAATTTTTACTTGAGAATATTAATTTAGGTTACAAACACAAAATTTTACCCACCGACACAGCTTCTTGGTCCAGCACTGAAAGGTATAAAAGAATAATAATGTCTATTTTGTATATTTTCTGGCAAAAAATTATCTGGATCAAAAACTTCAGCATTAGGTCCATAAACTTCAACAGCTCTATGAAGTTTTAATGTGCCAATAACAACAATTGCTCCAGCTGGAATTGTGAAATCTCCAGATGCTGAAATATTTATTTTATTTAACATATCAAGTTTTAAATTTTTTCATGGTATATTTCTTACTTATAAGTTTGTCTGTGTGTGTGTGTATTTACCTAATTTAATATCTTCGAAAACTTGTCTTGCTATCGTAGGCACGGGAGGATAAAGTCTCAATGTTTCCATAATGACTCTTTCTAAATATTTCATATTTACAGTATCGGTAAATGTAACGGGCCTATTCGAATCCCCAAATATTTCATATTGTTCTTTGTAAACTTTTTCCTAAAAAAAAAAAAAATTCAAATATTTAAATTTTAAAAATTTTAAATCGTTATTTATAAGGCTTGAAAAATTTTTTTTATACCTGAATATCTGGATAAAGTCCTAAAATACTCAGAAAAAAACTTGATGCTGCTGCTGTAGTGTCATGACCCTTAAAAATTATTATTTAATTAGATTTTATATCTGAAATTTGGTTTTCAAAAACATTTTTTCCACAACAATTTTTTTTTTTTTTTACCTCGAACATAATCGTGTCAACTTCTTCTTTGATTTCTTCATCTGTAAGTTTCGATTCTCTTTGCAATTGAAGCATGAGATCTAAAAAAGCTTTTCTTTTTTTCTCTCCTTAAAAATCAATTGAAATTTTTTATTTACCATATTTTTTTGGAAATTTAAAAAAAAAAATTATTAGGTACATACCCACATCACCGTCATCATCTAAATCATCTTTTAAAAATGGAGTTTTTGATTCTTTTTCAAGGGTTGATTTAATTGCTTCTTCTTCATCATTCATTTTAAATATGTCTGACGATAAAATTGATTTGTTTTGAGCGAATGCTAATTTTTTCTCCTTAATCACCTATTTAAAAAATATCGTTCGAGTAAAAAAAAGAAAATTAAAAAATTAAAAAACGATTAAATAATAGATTTTTAATTGAATCATGTAATTACACGACTTGTGAGAGAATGAATCGTGTTTAAAAATTTTTTTTGTTTAACTCCGTTTGACGTGTGTTGAAATAACCATTCAAATCTTAACCAAATTTTGTACATTCTTTGATGTATAATATCGCACATTCTACAACAAATTATTTTTCATAAATAATTGTATAATTCATTTATTTTACTGTAAAATAGTAGTACATTACTTACTTCATAACAGCCATTGCATAATCATAACCAGCATTGTCTTGATGTGATTTGTTTATACCCATGGCAGTTTCTAAAAATTATATTTTTGTTACTAAACTTAAACTTTAAATAATTTTAAAATGTTTATAATTTACATTACTCACCGATTAATATGTCAACCGTTACGGTACTCATGTAATCGTGAACATCAAAAGTTTTACCTATTTCTTTTTCCATTTTATTTATAATCGTTTTACTGTTTTTATTAAAAAGACCAATAAATGATTTTAGAACGTTGTGATGAAATGTTGGTGCTATTAATTTTCTATGTGATCTCCATTTATCACCTAAAAAAATTAACAATTTTAATTGTTATGTATTGTAAATCAATAAATTTTTTTTAAAAACGAATACCTGTACTAATTAAAAGTCCATCACCAAGCCATGGTTTAAAAAATTTATATTCTGGTGATTTATCAATGTATGTGTGACTACTTAAAATAATTTCAATATCTCGAGGATCGCTTAAAAATATATATAATTTACCACCGAGGACACCTTTGACAACAGAACCATAAGCTTCACCCAATTCGAAAGCAAATTTAACAAGACCTGTTTATAAAAAAAAAAGTATAAAAGTATTGAAATTTTTCTTTGCAAGTGATGAGTACGTACCTTCAGGTTGTATCAAACCAAAATGAACAACACCGATATAAGGAAGTCCAGGTGGTCCAGGTATAGATTTGCTTATTTTAAATTGTCTCGAAAGGGATTGAATTTTTTCAGCTATGTATAAAAGCACAACGATTCCGGCTAAAAAATAAAATATGCTGGTAGCTGATAAAAAATCTATTTGTGACACCGTATCGTCCATTTTGAAAATTTGTATGTTTTAAATCATAAATCGATCCTATAAAAAAATAATAATAATAATAATTTATTTATTTATTTTTCTTTTCTGTTTCAGAATACATGATTATAAGAAAAAATGAGAAGATGACTTACTTATAAACCTAAAAATTTTCTCCCGGTAAGTTTGATTATATAATTATTACAGTAGTTTTTTTTTTTTTTTTTAATTTTAACTGATTAACCCCAAGTAATCAACTACATGAAAAATCAAAAATAAAAAAAAAATTTTCTATTAATTTCCCACGAAAAACAAAAAAAAAAAAAAAAAAAAGAAAAAAAAACATTTTTTTTTTTTGACGATTAAGACCGTATTCAGTATAATATTTATTATTATTATTATTATTATGTTTCAAATAGCTAATTATTTTTCATATTACATTTTAGTATCGGGTTAATAATGATGGGTCAGTTTTATTTATTTTTAATTCAGTAAAATTATAACTTATATAAAATGTTTGAGAAAAGTTTTTTAAAAAAAAAATTTTAATAAAAAAAAAAAAAATTGTTATAATTATTAAAAGTTACTACAAAAGCTATATATAATTCGACATAAATTATTAATTAGTCTTAAATTTAAATTTTTTTTAAAAAATGTAATAATAAATAATTATTTTATTAATAGAAAAAAAAAAAAATAACCTTGTTTCGTCCCTGTCGTATTGTTTTTGTAAATTTAAACAAAAAAATGACGGGGACATATTGTTATTATTAATTTTAAGAGTATTCATAAAAGGTGAAAAAGTTTAAAAAAATTTCCATTTTTTTTTTTTTTTTTTTTTTTTTTTGTACTTTAAAAACATAATTTTTCATTTTTTTTTTTTTTTTTGATTTAACCGACCTTAATTTAAAAAGTAAAAAAGTTTTTTTTTTTTTTTTTTTTTTTATTAAATTTCTATCGTTGACATATACTCTCATGGGTAATTTTTTTCTTTATTCATTTTTTCATATAATAATTATTATTATTATTAATTATGCAAATTATTAGTTAGTCCCTTAAAGATTTTTAATTTTTAAAAAAAAAAAAAAAAAAAAAAACGATATTTCATATCGAAATGTGTTGTTACAAATTTCGTATTTATTTTTATTAATAATTTTTTGTTTTACTACCAGGGATTTACAAAAAAATTTTTTTTTTTTTTTTACAATTTTCCTTTACTATTATTTAAATACAAAATTTTCCGATTTAACTACTACGACTGACAACAAAAAAAAAAACTTGACTAAACAAATCGGCCATGAATTTGTTTGTAAAAAAAAAAAAAGAAAAAATTCATTTTTCGTTTTGTTCGTTTGTTTGTTTGTTTATTAAACTCTATCTCCTTCAAATTTTTGATGTACAGAAGGGTGTGATTTTTTTTTCAATGGTTTTAATTCGGACGGCCTTTTGTTATCTTTTTCATAAACGTTTCCAGTAACGAAATTAAATCGGTTTTTACCTGCAAACAAACAAACAAACAAACAAACAAAATTTAATTTAACGGAAATTTTAAGTTTACATTCAGATTATACGGAATACCAACCATTCATTCTTATTATTCTTTCTAAGTATTTACATTGCGTTCCTCCTGTCGAAACAACTTCTGTTGTCGTTTTATATATTCCAGAAGGTGGTACGTTACCACTGTCGGAATTTTTCGATGAAATCCAAGACCGAAGTTCTTCGACATCTAAAAAACAAAATGAGTAAGAATTTCATTTTAAATTAACAAATCATAATTATTTTAATTATTTATTATTATTAATAATAATAATAATAATAAAAGGAAAACTTTATTAAATTAATTTATGAATGAATGAATGAATAACATGATGTATGTGTAGTTATGAATATCTAATGTTTATTCAGTATGTTGAAAATTTTAAACTTTATGTTTATAAGTATGCCGCTTCATATTGTCACGTAATGACCTTAAAGAATTTATTTATCAATCGATCAATGTATCGATTTTGCATTGAGTAAAACCCGTTGCCTTGTTTAAATTCCATTTAAAAAACTGCTTTGAAAAAAAAAAAATAATAATAATAAAAATAATAATTTGTTCGTTAAAAATATCAAAAAATTTTTAAATCATTAAATTAAAACGATTTAAATTAAATTATAAATAAAAAAAAAAAAATTAAAATGAAAAAGTCATTGGATTTTCTTTAAATGGCATAAAGTGCTTTTATAGAGAGACATGTCTGAAAATGGCACCACAATTTAATCATTTGTTTGTTTTTGTTTTCAGGCACAGAGTACGATAATAGGCATTTTAAAATTAAGAATAAGGTATAATTGATTGAAAGAAAAGCTGTTGTAATGATTTTCATTGAACATGGGAAAATTTTAATATTGAAAAAGGTTAGTGTCTTTATTTATTTTTAGTAGTAGATCAGCATCGCAATGGGAAAAATAGTAATAATAATAATAATAATAATGGCAGCGATGATTAATCGTTTGAATTGACTCACCTGCGTCAAAATAATTTCTCAACTTTTTCCAATGTTTAGCATGTTGTATTGAATAAATGGCCGCGACTAAGAAAAATATTATGCACGAAGATACGGCAATACCCAATATAACAGTTTGCCAATCGAGTATGAATTTTTCCGTCGTTGAAAAATCTTCGGAAAATTTTATATCGTCTATTAATTTTTCTATTTTAACATTATCTTCGATTTTGGTGAAACCAAAATTTTTTATCAATATTCCATTTTCGTCAAATTTCAAATGATTCGGATCGTACAAATCGTTTTCTTTACCATTTTCTTTTAACACGTCCGGTACTTTATCGTCGTTTACATGTATTTTACCATCGGGAAAATGCGGTCTTAAAAGTTTTTGCCATGTTTTTAGCATCATGAGAGGATCGTCTTCTAAACGATTATGATTTTTTCCATTTGACGATTTGATTTCATCCGTAAATTTTTGATCAGAATTTCCATGTTTTATTAAAAGTCTCATGGCGTTTTTATCACCATCTTCAAAAGCTTTTAATTTATAACGATCTCCTATGAAAATATCACCGCTTTCAATTTCTTCGCTGTTTTCATCCGAGTCTTTTTTATGTTTTCGCTTTTGTTTTTCTTTCATGTGTAATTCGTGTTGTCGAATTTGATCGAAATTTTCCTTGAAAGTGTCCAACATTTCTTTTTGATTGTTGCCATGTTTTCCTTTTTTCGAATGAGAACCATGATTTTTTAACCATGTCCAATCAATGTTTAATTCTGATAAAGGTCCGCAAACTGTATCGGCATACCTCTGAAAAAAATTTTAACCATAATTATAAAGTTATTTTCATTTAAAAAAAAAAAAAATAATCCAAATATAACATTAGGTTTTGACATTTTTACCTGAGTGTAATAAATTCATTGACATTTGTTATAAAAATAGCTACCCTCCCCCCCCCCAAAAAAAAAAAAATTGACGACACATCAATTATTGGTTTAAATTGATGGTTTCACGTGTCAATGAAAAAAGAAAACAAAAATTTTTTTGTTTTTTTTTTCAAAACCATTATTTAGTCGTTAAAACTTAATTTAATGTGATCAGATCAGGGGTGCCAATTATAAAAGCATACATACCTCACAGGGTCGGATAACTATGTCGGGATTTGTACATCTTGAACAGTTTTCACACCTTTCCAAAACGGAAGACCAAAATTGATTATTTTCACAAATTTCACCATTTGCAAATGTCACCAGACAATAAAATATTATTATTGGTAAAAGCATTCCCTGTTGTGAAAAGAAAAAGAAGAAAAAATTTTCACTTTCATTAACTTCCGGTACAAAGTTTTTTTTTTTTTTCTCGCGTTTGTAAATATTATTTACTTTTTGGTTACATAA